CTTATTCCAATATTCTATAGTTCTGTAGTTATCAGTATCGCCAGTATCTTCTAATTTATCGTTATTTCAATAGAGATACGAATGTCGAGCAACATCCGTTTTTTATATATATAGTACATACATATATATATTACGAAGATATACAAGTCTACTGAATTTGTTTAAATCATTTTGCTTCTTTTCTAGTAAAATCACGATGGAGATGCAATATACTTTGAGATTAATTACTTTATTACTACTTCTTCACACTGTAAGGGCTGTGACTTTATCCCCGACATCCCCATCTTTCTCTCCAATCGTCATTCAGGCTGATTATGGAATAAATTATACAAAAACCATAAACGCTACGATCGAATATGTGTTTTTGTATCCCACTAGCAATGTAAGTGTGTCGACACTTTTTCATTCGAAAGTATATCTCTTCTCTTTTTGAATAAAATTATATATTTAATTGTATATTTATAGATATCCTTGGAAACCGCAAGAATCAAGATAGAAAGCAACGCAACTCATAGTTTGCCGTTGATAATAGTAGTGCGTCAAACAACTGGTATCCTATCTTGGCAAATACCTTTGCTTGTCAACGGCGTGAACTTAGATACTGTGACATATAACAAGACTAGTCGTACTCTGTGCTCCACCAAGTATTATCGATATGCACAAAACGACGAGGAATATGTTATTGTCGGTATCTCCACAGCCAGTCGCGATAATATCTTCTTTCAAATCAGCGTGGTTGAAATTACAGACTTTTATTTAAAGTATGTATTGTGTCATACAAACGCAAGATTGTTAAGAAACGCATCAAGCATATAGCTCGCTCATACTTTTCGCTTATTTTTGCGTTTGATCCTTCGTAGTTCTGGAACTGAAGTAGAGGTACAGATTTCTCCATCTGAACCTATATATTATGGTTACATCTTCTCAAAACAGGAGAACTCCTCTGTCATTGTTCGCGTCGAATCGGATAATGATGTCTGTATGACCGTGTCTATACAAAATACTTCGGTGAGTAGTGGTGATGTAGTTCTTGATGAAATTCAATACTCATAAATCTCTATTTTTCCTTTCTAATCTCTATTTTTCAGTGTCCTGTATTCGATTTGGAACGAAACATCGAGTTTTCTGGACACTGGCAAACTATGAGTAGAAGAGGAGGTATTACAGTACCGGTAAGTGATGCTATATATAGTGTAATAATCTTAGGAAAATTGATGTATTTTATATGTCCATGTAATGTAACATAAAATTGTTATAATATGTTATTATAATGCAACAGTGTTAACGTTACAATGTACATAAATCGTTTTACAATATATATAAAACTGTTACAATACTTTTTTCAGAGGGAGGCTTATCCATTAGGATTCTTCGTTGTACTTGTCGTCAAAGGGGAGGACACCGATTGCAATGGGTTATCAAGTAGTAATCCTCTTCGTACTAAAAATGTTACGTTAATCGTAAATCCTACTATTACTAAACGGGATTATGTTGTTGCATCGGCATCCGCGGCGGCAATTGTATTAGGTTTTTGTATCTCTTATATAATGGCTGTAATAGTATTCAATATCAGAGAGACCAAGAAACTTGCGACGCAAGAACCGATAAACGAACAAAGCCAAGATGTTAACGAGCACGTACCGAGCCCATCGACGGTAACTAATTAATATTAATATGATTCGAGCTTCATATACATAGTCATCTGTGTCTTTTGCGTAAGTACGTTTATATAAATGTCAATGTTTATAATATTGAAATGCTTCAGAATAGTCCGAAAAAATGGGATTCTGTAGAAGAAGATTCATCCCTGGATGAGGACGATATAGATCTAATGGAAGATGCTCTCTCCGATAAGGACGTAATACGAACGAAGGTCATCCTCTCGGTTTGCGATCTCGCTCGCAAAGAACCGAGGATATTGCGACATAAATCTCGTTTATACTTATATTATTTGGCAACCGTCGCAATATTCTATACCTTGCCGGTCGTGCAATTGGCGGTGACATATCAGCGTGTACTTCATACAACCGGCAATCAAGATATGTGCTATTACAATTTCTTGTGCGCCCATCCGCTGGGACTACTGTCCGATTTCAATCACGTGTTCTCAAATTTCGGATACGTTATGCTGGGTTTACTGTTCATATTTCTAACTTCCTCTCGAGAGCACCACGAGCCGGATCAGGAGAAAACAAAATGCTATGGCATACCGCAACATTACGGTCTGTTTTATGCAATGGGCACTGCATTAATAATGGAAGGTATATTGTCGGCGAGTTATCACGTGTGCCCTAGCCGTAGTAATTTTCAATTTGGTAAGTGGCATTAATTGCAAAGTATATTTTCTTTAATTTCATATATTCATATAATCAATTTCCAGACACCAGCTTCATGTACGTAATCGCTGTGCTGTGTATGATCAAAATTTATCAAAATCGCCATCCCGATATAAACGCTAGAGCACCGGTAACATTTGGAATGTTGGCTGTTATAATATTCGCAGGACTGATCGGAGTTCTAAATGGTTCTAAGACCTTTCTGATAATATTTTCTATCCTGCATTTACTAATATGCTTCTTTCTGACTGTGCAAATATATTACATGGGACGATGCAAATTCAACAGAAGCGTTTTTAAAAGAGTGATACAGGTATGTAATCTATTTAATATCACGCACTGTCGCAAGACATTTGCCATTGGTATCTTGCAGAGATTCAAGCACGAGGCACGCTGCGGCATATGGCATTTACTTCGACCGCTTTATCCCGCAAGATTCATAATGCTCGTATTAGCGAATTTATGTAACGTCGGTCTCGCGGTATTCGGAAATATGTATCAGCAAGGCAACTTCGCTACATTTTTACTGGCTATATTGATGTCCAATTTAATTTTATATACATTCTTTTACATAATGATGAAGGTATGTATATTCTCTCGCTCTCTTCCCTCCTCTCTCTCTTTCGTGACCACGTAAGAAATCAGAAGAATTTTATAATTTTAATTAATACAAAAATCTTGCTTCCAGTTGTGCCATAGGGAACGGATTCTTCCTACACCCGCGATTTATATTTTCCTATCCATGCTATTTTGGGGAGCAGCCTTGTACTTCTTCGTGAATAAAACTATTTCTTGGGCTCTTACACCGGCCCAATCCCGCCTGTACAATAAACCTTGCGCATTATGGAACTTTTTTGATTCCCATGATATCTGGCACTTTCTCTCTGCACTAGCAATGTTCTTTTCATTTATGGTATTACTTACTTTAGATGATGACTTAACAGATGTACATCGGAGTCAAATACCAGTTTTTTAAAGATATTCTTCTACGTAGGTTTGAGAATTATGTGAAACTTTACAATTTTTTATGAGGTATTCTCTCGAATGTATATATACATACATGGTATATAGTTTATATAATATAATAGTAATTTTACAAAAAAAATTATATCAAATATATAAAAGGCTTGGGAGAGAGAGCGTGTGCGTGTGTATTTCTTGTGATAGAAACGTGCTAGTGAGTATTGTCTGCACCAAAGAATGCGTGTGACGTTCGATTAAACCGAATAAATGTATAGACGCATACAATGTTACAATAAACAAATTTTAATTCCAGTGCTTCGATGGCACTTTTTATGAAGAATGTGATAATGTTTGAAAATGAAAATATATATCTTCCGCGCAAAACGTAGAAAGAAGAAATTAACATAGAGAAAAAACATTTAACGTTATACATAGAATGTTTACATTTTTGCATCTGTCGTAAGATAATGTTATTTAAATGCGGCAGTTGCGCGAGCATATTGTTCATCAATGTCAAAGTCTCTTACAATGTTTTCCTTCGAAAAATAAATATACATTTTATATATTTGCGCGCGTACGCGCCCGCGCGTGTGTATATAATTATATACAGAATATCCCCGCACTTTTATTAACGCATGTTCTTTCAGATACACAGTACAGAACGTCCCAAATTGGGGCATATCTTAATTATCACTAATCAAGCATTAATGAAAAACTTGTGAAATATTGAAAATTAAAAGATATACCAAGATGACATACTGTTACAAGTCGGATACGAAGGATGTTTTCTAAAAATTCAACGGTCATGATAAAGAAATACATCGGCAAGTTCTCCTACGGAAAAATTGTTTTAGAATTTCAAAAAGTTTGTAACTGAAGGAATATGCGATATTTTGGGTATAAATCTCTTTATATTTCCATATACAATTATAATCTATAAGCTCGTCACGAAACAACAGTGACGCACCTTTCTATTTTTTCCTAAATCCATATATTCGAATATGTGAAGCGCTTTGTATCAAAGAGATTATGAGCAAATCGTTTAACAAGTTAATCAGACAATATCCTAAGGTGCGTTCCATTTGGCGCTTACAACGCTCATGAGCTCATTCATCCTTATTTAACATTTAACAAACAACAAGGATGAAATGATTCTAAGAGTGTTGCGAGCGCCAAGTGGAACACACCCTTGTATTTTTCCAATTTCTTGAATCATCAACTTTAAAATAAAATTTGCTAAATTTTAAACTATCGGGATACTCCGACCGTTTAAATGTCAAAAGAGAGGTCATGATCGTGGCCAGATTCCAGTCGAAATTTGAAAAAATTAAATCTTACAAAACTCTACTCGAAATATCGCCTGCTCAATTATTAACCCTTAATACCAGAACATATTTGGATTGATATGAATAATTATACATATATCTTTGATGATAAATTGTACTATTGATGCGCATTTAAATATTAACAAGTTGGAATGAATACATAGCATGGAGCGGATACTCTTACGAGAAATGCATTCAGGATGAAACGCTCGAGTCCTTATGGTGTTCCTGTCCCGTAGTCTCTAATTGCGACAAAGTTCTTTGCAACTCCGCTCGTTCGGTCGGCTGCAATCTATGCGCAATTTCCAGCACCGCGTCCAACCTTATTTCCGGACAGATTTCTAAAGCCTCCTTGATACGCGTTACTACCGCGTCTCTCTTCACGCACATTATATTACGCGATACAACACTGTCATCGGTTTTACGTTGCGCTTCCAACCAACAAGCTGCAGCTTCGTCTTGATCCCACAAATATGACTCCGTTGCTCCTTTGTCCTCGATGAACCAACGTCGAAGCATTGCTTCCACTTGTCTGACGTCGAGACTGGGCTGCGTCGACAAGATCTCGTTTTTAATTTCTTCCTCGGAAAGTCTTCGGCGTAATCGCCAGTAAAACAGCTGGCGTGCCTTTTTCCATGGTATTATCTCGTGAATCGTATTCTTCTCCAACATCCTCTCCGGCGTATCGTGCAGATCGGCAAAATGTACGGCGACTTGACGATACATCGGTTCCAAAATCTCCTCGCGTTTGCGAATCTGCGCTTCGATCTCGGTTCGTTCCTCCGCCGTGTTTGCGGTCGACAATTTTTCCTACAAACACACATAGATTACATAAACATATCGGGAGTTTGACGTAAAGAAAGAAGAAATCGTTTACGTACTTTTAATTTCAGTATAACGAGATCGACTCTGTGCATAGTTTTCACAATGTCCTTGGTACGAAATTTGATTTCTACGATAGCGTCGGATTCCAAGATGCCACCTCTACTGGTATTGTCGGCAAACATCTCTATAAAACGAGGATTTATCGTAGTATCAACGACTGCCCAAGCGCCGCCTCTGAGTTCCCCGTTCGGTGGGATATAAACGATTATCGGCCTGCAATATTGCCGCAATCCGTCCACGATGTACGCGCCGAACTTGACGATCTGCTCGTACATGTCTGTAAACGAGAATAACGAAGCGATTAGTGAAATTGGGACAGCGATTAATCGAGCGGCAGGCTCGATCGAGCTCACCTTTCATGCCGCCGGAAAAGCCTCTCCAATTGGCGAAGATAAATAGCGGCAATTCCTCCTTTCCGAAATCTTGAATAGCTTGGGCGGTTTTGTACGCGCTGTCCGGAAACCAAACTTGTCCCGCTTGAGATATGGTTTTCGCTTCCGAATCTAAATTGGCAGGGTCGGCTGGTAAATGTAGCTCGACGGTCCTCGTTTCGACGGCGATAATGCCGCACGGTATCCCACCGAGCCTAGCTCGCCCCGTTACCACCGTTTGCGCCCATGGCCTCATTATTTCCTGTTCCATCAAACAAAAGCGAATTAACAAATTTGCTATCGTGTTGCTGTAAGAGCGAGAGAAAACAAAAATAAAACTCACGTGCCACGAGCCGCGGTCGAAAAAGCCGCTTTCCCAAACGTTTGACTCGGTACAGTTTCTGCCTTCTAGCATCCATCTCGGATCGTAGGCCGCTTTCGTAGGTACGTAAGCGATCTCTCGGTCAATCGGGTCTGTGATGGGTAACAGTATCGGCAACGGGGTGCCTCTATTTTTAGGGAAGTAACTTAGCCACTTTAGTGCGGTCCCCACTCCGTCCAAGTCTCGAGCGTCGGTCGCATGAGACACCCCATTGTTGTGCATAATCTGCGTACCGCCCAGCTGATTATTGCTGGCGTAAACCTCGCGACCCAGCACGGCGTTCAATGCTCTGTAACCGGTTAGAATAATGTGCGAATTTTCGATCTGGATTACCCTTTGGCCGAGACGCAGCAGATAGGCGCCGATACCGATTGCACGGCACGACACTATAGAAATCGTGATCGTCTCCTCGTAGGCTCTCGATGTCTCCCCCGCGATTAGACCGGCGTACTTCAAATTCTCGACTCCCAGACCATCGTCCTTGCCGATGATGTCCGTGATTTTATAACGTGACTCTCCTGCGGGATCCTCAATCAGCGAGGCTTTCACCGAATTGAGGGGCGCCAAGCGCGCGTAATCGTCCGGTGTGAGATATATGTATCTGAAACCCTTCTCCGGCTCGTTCTCGTCCTCCCACGCGATCCTGAAAAGAGCTTTTACCTCCTCGGCCAGGCCAATACGTGCTCCAGAGTTGGCGCTAAAGTATATGCGCGGACACCCGAGCTGTCTCGCTCTCTCAGAAGCTCTGTAAAACACCAGATCCTCGCGCGTCCCGAATGAGCCTATCAAGTACGTTAAATCGTTAGAGATGAGTATAATGTCCCTGCCAAATGGATATTCCGGGGTATACAGAGTCAACCGCCACGCGATCATGCCGACATCGTTCTCGCCCGGCAGTCGCTTCTGTTCAACCAGCTGTTCTCCTTCCAACACCAACTCCACGACATCCATCACCGGATTAGGAATCGTAATCGGACTTTGACCTTCGCTCGGTGGCCTCTCCTCAATGTACCTCTGCCACAGCTTCTCGAGTTGCTGCCGGAACATGTCCGGCAAGTCATAAGCGTACGTCGTACCGGCGCTCTGCGCCTGGAATCTCTTCGCTTGGAGATAATCTTTGGTCAGATACGGCGTGGAGATCGGTAAGCCGTGCATAGGACCCGGCCTCCAATTGGTCGCATTGGCCGCCGTAGGCGAATAAGATTCGAAGCGAATGATACCCGTCTTGGAATCGGTGGCTTCCGTGTAAAGGTGCAGGTCGATGCTGTAGCCACTGTCATTGGCGATACACAGACGCACAGTGGAGGTCGGTTTCCCCGGTGCGGGCCGTATGGTCATCTTTATCTCCGCTTGTCGAACGTGCAACTTCCATAATCTCGGCCCGTATCGCAGCACCATGCTCGTCACGCTTTCCTCTATTCTGCTGGGATCCATAATGACCGTGGGTATAAAGTTCAAGAAGATGTGATTGCACTCGGTGCGCTTAGCGAGAGGATGCGAGAACGCGACCTCCAGCTCGTCCATGGCCTCGAGCAAGACGCGCTCGCCCTCGTTGTGAAGATAATCGAAGCTAGCTTCCTTCGTGATCAGATCAGAATGTCGTATGATCGAGCGAATGAAGAAACGATAATCCGTAACTTGCTGGCCCTTGGCGACCTTGGCTTGTCCGAGATACAGGTGCATCTTCTGATTGGACGTCGGAAGTGCTTCAAGATCGTAAGTTCGCATGCGATTCAATTCCAATTGGAAAGCGCAGCCAGGCTCGAGGTGACGGTAGATTCTGTCCTCGACGAAGCCCTCTCGCTGACGGAAGGTAAAGAACTTGGGAAACTGTCGCCTCGTGAGCGCGGCGAACGTAACTCTTCGGATGCCGCGGGATATCAGCTCGTCCTTGTTATTCGCGCACCAATCTCCAAACATCCTGGCCATGGTGGCGTCGTCCTCGGTGCCATTCTCTTTAACCGCGATGCTCAATATGTGAACCGGCTCGGCGAATTTGTCATTGATAGTCGCCGCTGTCGCTGCAGTTGCCGTCTCAGCCGCGCTCAAGGAGACGTTGATTGACGTACTGTGCCGTGATTCGCTACCGACAGCATCCACTGCCTCCAACAGTTTCGCGGACATTACCGGTGTGGGACTCGACAGATCCTCCAGCAAGTCCAAAATCTCGTCCGCGTACTGGCTGAACTGATCGAGATCCTCAAAAGCCGCCATCGCGCCGGCTCTGTGATCTACCAGAGACTGATTCTGACGATTAGGGTGATTGCTGGGTAAAACAAATTGGAAATACACTAATGGGATTTCGCCGGACAGCTCCAAGTGTTGCAAACATGTCAGTTCATAACTTATGTAAGCTCGTCGCACGTAGACTTCTAAGGCTGCGTTGCACACCACACGATTGTTATGATAAAAGAAATCATGAAGTATGTCGAAGATGGACGTTTCCGAGAGAATGAGTTTCTGCAAATTTTCCGGATGGAAGTCGTGCCCGTACATATCAACCGCAGAAAGGAATATAGATTCCATCTGATTATGCCTGAGCTCGTATGCAGGCTGATGGGCGGCGATTAATACCTGCCTGGCTCTCAACGCAACGCGGCTG